AAAAGTAACACTGGTAAAACAAACAATTTAAGTGTATCACTGGAAAACTGTTTTTAATTTGCAAACCAGATTGCCCTATAGAGGAAAGATATCTGCTTTAAAAGGATGTCTGAGCTAAGACAGGACTGGAGCTGGGACAGGGAGGTTAGCAAGGGAACGTATGAGACTGTCTTGAAAGCAGCACATGATGTGATTGATGATGGACACGTAACATAATCTAGCCAAGCCACAGGATGCTTACTGCTCTAGATTAACTAAAAGGATTCTGCCATAAAAGATCTGTTTCCACTAGATTTTATATATCAAACATCTCAAATGCAATGTAAACCAAAAAAAAAAATATTCACATCTTGAGTTCTTCCTAAATCCAAGATCTTAGACCCCTAGCTTCATCCCTCAGTTCCCATTCTACATCGACGAACCCAGCAATGGAAGGAATAGTACCAAAACCTTCCCCATCACTATGATGCCTACACTACACTGCAGAAATACTGACATAGCAAGTTATTCTACAAGGAATAGATTCTGACACTCTTATTTCATGCTGAATAGTCACTTGGCATACAGAAAACCATGGCACTGGCTCGGCTGGGAGCACCACAGAACCCACAGATGCCAGGTGCTACCTCAGTAACTACCTGCATAGACACAGGCACCCATGCACACCGGCAAGGCTGAACGTGGGACGTGCTTGCACAATGAACTAGCAGATTTTGGAAGCTGGGTATCAGTAGACCGTCACTTTTCTAAGTCCACCCAACTGAGGTTAGGGGACAGAAACAGCCCAGAAACCCAACGCTGCACAGCTCCAGCTTTTGCTACCTTTAAAACTATGGAAAAAAAGATTTCTTTTCACCAGGAAAAAATAAAATCCCAAACCACTCCTAATTTCCCTCATGAGCTTTATTTCACCTCCTAAGTGTTCCTGAAAGATCACAGAGAAAGAGATGTATATATGAGATGCTGCCAAACACGGTGAGCTGGCGGTGATTCGGTTTCTCTTTATCCACAGCACTCTTATTTCCTAACCAAGCTTCTTAGACAGCAGAATAATGAATTCTGAGCAAAAGCTGCAAAAACATTAAATTAAATTTTCCAGAAATACAAAAACTCTTAATTTTCCTTAATTTTACCTTATATATTAAAATACCTTATTTCCATGCATTTAAGTTAGTGGGTGGCTACACTGCTCTAAGAAATACAAGCAGAACACAAAATCCAGTTGGAAGGAAAAAAGGAAAATTTACTGTGGTGAAAAGGGAAAGACAAAAAACATGAAGAAATTCTACAACATCTTTAAAAGAGGAAAAAAACAAGAGGCAGGTATGTCTACTTAGCTGGTTTTACCTCCATGTACCTACTGCATTCCTCAGCCATTCAATATCCTGCCTCCACAAAGGGTGGTGTCCGGGAGCAGTGTAACACTACAGGACATGCTACCGAGACTGGCCCATATCATTTACAGCCTGATTCAGTTCCAGCTGGAGCCACGGGAAATCTTGGTGATAGGAATGACCAACAAACTGCTAGAGCTGGAATCAGGAAAATGTAACAAGTCCCCAGCACCATCCAGAAAGGTACAGAAAGGATGGCCACTTATGCAGGAAGATTCTTTTCTCCTCTTCAAGTATAGCAGCAGCTAGAGTGAGAGAGAGGGAAATACAGAAAGTCTTGATCTTGGTTGAATTGAAAGTCAGTGCAAATATATCAACAAAGCTCAGGCAATATTTAGAATTCCACGCGCTCTATGGCTGAGCCTCACAAGCTGTGGCTTGTGGCTCTACTGTTGAAGATTTTCCTTCAACTTCTCAGCTTCTTCTTCTTTACACGTACACATGTGCAACCACACCAGCTCATCACCTACAGCCCTACGCTTCGGCTTTTTCTTCCCCCTTTATTCATTCATATTACATGCCAAGAGCAAAACAACAAATGCATGCAGATCCTTATTCCCTCTCTTTCAGTATCTGAGCTCTTTCCCCCCCTCCTTTAAGGCAGCATCTTTTATTTCCATGTGAACAACTGCTGTGCAACATGATCAAGTCTTCCCTCTGCCTCTTTAATTTGGTTTGGTTTGGGGGAGGTGGCTGTATTGCATATTTGCAGCTAATATTAATAAATCTCTACAGTCACCAGAAATCTGCTCAAAATCAGAAGAAGCAAACACTGCAATCTATTTCCTTATAGGTAATTTGCTTGTGCATTTCACAGAAGGACAAATCCACCTGGGTTTTGAATGTTTACATTTGGAGCTCAACAGTTTACTTAGAAAATGTTGTAAATAGGCATTTTTCTTTCCCACAACTTCACTTGCAGTACTTGTCTATGTGCTGAATTATGCGTGTCTAGTCAGGTAGAGGTGATGATACAAAAGACTTGAGGCAACCAGCAAATATTGTGAAAGCTTTAAGATGATGTGAAAGAGAAGAGCCACCACTGAGTGTTATGATTCACTTGGTAAAACTCTCGGTGACCTTGCATGGCAGTTTTTGGTATGACATCAGCAAATGCCGTATCTGCCAAAACACACCAGCTAGTTCAAAATACCTCAGATTTTACTTAATATTGTATGATTTGGATTGGAAATTAAAATATGCCTGAAATATTTTTATTAAATTCATTATAACAATGTTCAGGCCTTTAGTGCACTTGCCTTCCTGTAGATCTAAGACAAATAGTACACCTCTGTCTTTGGGAAAAGGTTTTGGTTCATGGGAAGTAGTGTCCATCCCATAAACACCCTTGCCTTGCTTAGCTCATACAAGTGCTCCTAAGAAATGTGAGTCTCTCTCTAAGGGCAGGTGAGGATCCTCTGTTCAGGAAAACTACACCCAGTGAGGGGCCAGAAAGCACACCATGGGAGTCAGGGCCAGTAATTGTGACCAAATGCTGAATAAAGAATAGTCGCAACATCCTTGCCCTGGAGGGCATGCAGATACCCATGGATATGCTTTCTGAACACACTTACAATAAAGTATACTGAGAGTTTTGGAAGCTGGAAAGGGACTCGGAAGCTCAAATCTCATTACATTGCATTCCTTCAAAAATACCATCTTTCACCATCACGGTGAAGATACAAATACATTTGTAAATACCAACCACTCATTCTGGACTGTTTGGTACTTAAAGTCAGCTTACATCTGTTCAATAAAAAAAACTGTAAACAAAATTCAAGCAGCTATATTCTGTCTGTCCCTATACAACATTTATATCATCTCCCACGTGTAACTCTGCTATTCCAAACCACACAACCGGCACACTGCACCTCTGGCAGACAGATACTACAGCTACGGCGGACAGGCACGAGTCTATCAAAAAGCATTTGAGTTTAGAGAAAAGTTAGGGTAATATTCACATTTTCCAATTCACAGTGGTAATGGTTTTCCTGCTCAATGTTCTTTAGTGAAATGTAGGAAATCATGCTTGGATAATCTACACTTCCTCTTCACAAAAAACCTAGGAGAATGGGAGAGCACCACCCCTTGAATGCTTTCAGTATTTAAATATATTAGCAATGATATTAACTTCTTCAGTTTAAATTAAATTTACAGCTGTACACTCATGAAAGGCACCCTCTCTTCCCTTCTGTTCTCCCTTATGGTTAAAATGTGGTGGCTTTTAAATTTTTCTTTCCGGTGGGAGTGAGGAGAGGTGTGTAGCAGAGAATTTATTTGTGAAATAAACTGAATTATCTTCATAGAAGTAAAAGTCATATGGCAACGCATCCCTGCTATGTGAACAGCTTTGTATACCAGTAAGTGAGGAGATACTGTTCTTTAGTTGTATGTGCATATATTCAATTTATATAACAGACTGGATCAAAGAGGTTAAAAAAATGGTCTGGTGTTCAACAAATATGCACAATATTCTGGAAGTCCCTCAGAATGCGCTAATCCTTCACTGCTTGTGTAAATAAATGGCGTTGCTCCTCACAGATTATACCAAACGTACAGCTGTTGGCGTTTGATACTGATTAACAGCTTTAAGACTATTAACATACAATTAATTAGATGTCACTAACACACTATGAACAAAGAACTACGGTGAGTTGGGAGTTGGTTTGGGAAGTGAAGGAATAAAAGAAATACTATACAGCCCTGAGTAATCACCGGCAAGGGGCAAATGCAAACTTCTGCACACATTAGGCCTCAAGGTCGCTAATAAAGTCCACAGCTCCATAGTAAGTGCCATATAGTGATATCTAAAAATATATATTCTGGATTAGGCAGCCGTGAAATTTTTGACAAGATGACTGCAGACTTTTCGATGAGCTTATGTGAAATCTAAGAAAAGCATTTATACGTTAACATCAACCACAGGGCTTCCTTTTGGTACACAGCAGTTCACATGTCTGGACCTACAGTCTTCCCATTCATTTTCTGTCAGTCTAGAATGAACATACTAATTTTGTGCTAACACGCTGTATTTTATTCATTAAGGTCCCGGGGTTTGGGGTTTTTCTATTATTAGTTGGCTTTGAAAATGATTATGTAGCTAAAATATATTTTTGAAAGTCTAGCTTTCTGATCTCTTTTAGAGTCTTACTTTCGTAACTGTGCAAATGCATTCCTAATTCTTCTTGTCTGTGTCATACTACATGCATACCATATTGCTTATCCAGTACTAGAAAATCATTAAACAGTTCTAAGGACAAAAGTACATTGAATGATACTTAGCAACATAAATTAGAATAACCAAAATAGTAAAATAATTAGATACAAAACAGCATAGTTGCCAACATATATTGGGGCTATTTCAGTACAGCATGCCATTTATATATAAAGCATACATAAATGGCTGTTTTTTATCCTTTTCAACAAGACATATTTTTAAAGGATTGTGAAGAGCATACTAGTTTACCTATTCATGTACAAAAGTACACTGGGAAAGGAAGAGGTTTACATGTCATTTACCATAGCAGGATACTGTTAAAGGATAAATTCTCCCTCTAAGATGGTGGCAACTATTTTTTCCCTATAGATGAAGTGTTCATGGAAAATTTAAACATCTGATTCAATGCTAGGCATTTTCTTATACACACGTCTATTGCTACAGGAATTTAAAACCCTTGGAGTTGAGTACAAGCTATTCCTATTTGCAACGTAAGGCAAAACATGCTCTGAAATGTACATGTCATTATGGATCCGACCATCCCTGGAACAGTATGATGCTGTAGACTTTATGGATGACCTTAAATAATTATCATGTCTTCCTCTTGTTGGCAATGAATGTTTATAGAGATCAGCTGGACTTCGCCTAAGAGATAAGTGCTGGTCCTCGCGATACGGGTGCAGAAAGGGATTGTCGTCCGAGTGAACAGGATACAGGGACTTGCTCCGCTTACTGTCCTCGAGAGCATGAGTTAAAAGTGAGGCCTTGTTGCCCAAAAGTTTGCTTGAGGGAACACTAAACATGCTTGCATATGGACTACTTTGTAGAAATTTCTCTCTTTCTTTCAAGCTTATACTACGAGAAGGTCTTCCAAGATCAATTTCCCTGGACTTGTCAGCGATATTATCAAAAGAATGTTGCCTGCTAATCCTCAACTTATTTTTTTTATGATATTGCAGAGCATTATTTTGTGACCAACTGTGCTCATAGATTTCTTCGGGAAGTGATAAGTTCGTTGTATCCTGCAGCATCTGATCTTCTTCAATATCGTAGAGGTTACCCATCCGCAAGCATGCATCACATTTATAGGGAGATCTGCTCGAATAGTGTCCCGCATAAGTGGGCACATTGGACAGACAGCTCCTGCAGTGGGTGGAATTCTGTCTGTATCTATCGTTCATGTCACCTAGGGAAGCATTTTTATCTTTTAAAGTGTAGTGCTTTGCATAAAGTTTATACTGGTCATTATTTGGAAGACTGTCTTCATTATGCAAGGGAGTCCTGTTAGCGTGCTCCGCTTTCCTGTAGTTGTCATTGTGATCTTGATAAACATCAGGGAGCTCTATAGTTTCTGGAAGGACAATGTTTTCGATGTACTGAGGTGTGTCCAAGTGGAATCCTGGCCCCTTGTCAGCATCAATCGTGTAGATTTTATCCCGTGGAGAGCTCTGTTTGGTTTTCAGATATGTCAGCTCCACTTCACTACAGTCTTTTGGGTATTTCGATGCTCCTGTCCTTTTTTTAAAATTGTCCTTGGTTTTGTGATGCTTGTTGTTGTTTTCAGGTTCCATATGGCAGGTAGCTCGGCTGGATGTCTCTGATACATCTGAATGGACAATCTCTTCGGGAAGGTATCTTTGGCTTTTCAGCGAAAGCTGCCTGTTTTCATCGGACCCGTTTTCTCTCTGGGAGCCTTGGCTCTGACGGACAGATTCTTGACGTAAAGATTCAACAGATTTTCTCCAAAGCTGCCTGGGTCTGGAGTTCGCTTTTGCTTCTGTTGTTACTGCAACCTCTACTGTATTTGGATTGGACTCATTCAGTGTGAGAGGATGCTGACCTTGGAAAACATAGTTGTTAAGATTGTCCTTGTGTCGATTACCAGGAAGTGTTTGCAATTCACTCATGTTGTCACCAAAAAAGTTGTCCTTAGTCTGAAAGGATCTATTATCAGAAAATATCAAGTTTCCCTTATCCATGACCATATCCATAATCAGGGAGCCCCTCTGAATAAAATCAGCTGTTCTTTTGGGGGAGTTAATTCTTGAAGGATTGATATTGGTCATATTTTTCGCTGTTCGCAGCAGTTTTAGCATGTTGGTTTGGGAATTGGTCAAAGTAAAGTCAGGAGACTTCTTCTTTTCTTCAATGTGTACTCCGTGAATGCAGCTGTAAATACCCTGTAGTATGAATAATATAAAAGAAATTAAATCACTAGGTGTAAATTTTAAATACTTGAGTTCTATTTTTTATTAACAATAAAGAAAAAATAAACTTTGCTTATCTAATGACTACAGAGATCAAAAGTACCTATCCATTCTGTTAGCATTTTCTTACATTGATACCTGAGGATAATTTCTGCTCTATCTGTTGGCACTGTAAAGGAGAAAAATTGCCAGTATCTTACAAACCAATGGTCTGTGTTGGCCTCCAATGCTTATCCCAATAAACAAGATTAGAAGGAACACAAAAGGTTCCCTAGTCCCTCACAAAATGTAACTGCTCTTCAGTAACGGAAACTATTATTTTAAGCCAGTGATTAAATTATCCCTCTACGCAAGCCTGCAGTCAGGCTATATTCTTGGAGGTTAAGGTACTCTTCACTTTCATTGAAATAAAAAGGCTTCTTGTCATGCTATTTTAGCTTTTCTGTTTCCTAACCTCGTACATATGAAAAAAATCCCAGCTCTTTCTAAAGCCTGAATTTGAGCTCATTATGAGCAAAAAGCTGGAGTCCATCATTTAACTCCAACCTCTTCAGTCCCTCCTGTGAGCTCAGTTGACAGTTCTGGCCCTGTGAACAAGTCATTCTCAGAAATCTGCCTTTGATGGAAGTACTTCATTTTCCTCGCATTGGGTAGGAGAATTTCACATGTAAAAGGCCAAAAGTGGAAAGTTCAAATGTAAAATGTGGGGGTTAAAGTCTATATGCTCAGGGTGGGGCTGAGTATTTTTAAAGTCATTCCGATACAGTTCAATTTACCCAACAGGGTGATTTCAGCACGTTTTAAAGTGATTAGGCATTTTACTACCATTTTCAATTCTCCTAGGCTGTATATAAAAAAAAATCTGGTAAAATAAATTATCTAATGAAAGTATTATGTGGTTTGTTTTTTTTTTTCAAAAAAAGACAAAAACCAACTTCTGTGTCAAAAGTATAAGAACAAGCATATACTTCCCTTATTTTACAACAAATATTAGATATGTAAATCCACTTTGGGTTTGGTAAAGGTATCATTAAAACCTGTCTTAATGAAATTTGTGTTTGACCTTTTTTCATATGGTTTATTCAAGTTTGCTATCAAGAAAAGCTTATAAAAATATTCCACCATATTTCTATCACTTAAAATCCACTTGTTTAAGAAATACACAAAACTGAGAGCTAATGTCCCTCATCAATTTAGTTTCACGGGGGTTTTTTTGGATTTTGTTGTGGAAATGAATCCATTTCCTGTATCTAAGCAGCTCTACCATTTCTTCATCAGAATTTCCCCTAAGTGTGCTAGTTTTCAGCATTTGACTACTGACCATCCTGGTATATATATATATATATATTCATACCCTAGAATAACCCAATGGAGAACAGACTTCCCATGAAGTGTGAGTATGTCCTATGCCCACCACCTACTCTAGAGCATCACACTGATGCTCTAACCTGTATTTCAAATGTCCAAGTGGGATTCAAAGGAAAGGTAGTGTGTTAGAGAGCTAAAGCTGCTTCTGTTTGTTGCCTGAAGGGGAAAAATGCAAGCAATCCTCACCCTGCTGATGGAGAACAGCAGTCCTGGCCGATCTGAGCAGACTCCAGTGAAGCAGAATCGAAGTTTCCAGTAAAATAAGTGCTCCCAGACAAAGGTGATTAAACTGAGCGCCATGGCTGCCGCCAGCATGTAAAACACCCCAGCCATGTTGTCGATGTCCAGCTGGCTGCTCATGACTTCGTTCTTCTCATTGTGGCAAATACCCGTCAGCCAGAGGGTTTCTAACTCTTCCATTTCCCCTGGGAAGAGCAAGGAGTCAAACCAGTTAAAATGCAAAATATACTGCTCACAATATTCAAAAGTCTTGGCAAGTTTAAAAATACAGCACCATGTAATGCTCCATTTGTGGAGTGCTATAGTCTTATCTACGAAGGATTTGCAAATATAGAAGATTCCAACTCACAGCACCCTACTTTCAGATGTCCTCAGATTTCATGAATTACGTGGGAAGCTGGTTGCTCTGGAAAGCAGGATCTGTGATTTGGGTAAAACTTCCTTCTGCTTGCTGTCACTGGCACCACTTGCTACAGAGAGTGGGACCAGAGGGTTCCCATCCCACCCCACCCTATAAGAGCTGCGCTGGGGGCACACTTAGGCCCAGGAGGCTCCTCCCAATCCAGTCCCATAGAGGCCACCAGTGCTGTTCCCATCAGCAGCCCCAGCTGGGGGTAAACTGTGTGTGCCCAGTGGTACTGGGTACTCCCACACTCACCAACACCGAACAGAAAGCAAGATCACATCAAAATCAGCTAGGAGCTGAGTTTAGTGAAGAGGTGGGACACTCTGTAGGGCTCAGACACAGGGCTCAGTCAGACAAGCACCCCAACACACAACCAGACTCTTTTATGCCCCCTCCTCTCCATTTTCCTACACTTGTTCCTCCCTGATCCACGCTGACGCCTCCCTTTGGATCTTCCCTTAAACACTGCAAAATAAATTTTACATGTGCTCACAATCCCTTTCAAACACACCATAAGAAGTTCATTATTTTCCTGTAAGACCCACAATAAACTTATTTCTCCTTTTCCTGTAAGTTGCAACATGCCAGCTGCACCTCTCCTGACACGTCTGGTCTCTGCTGTTGTCTCTGGTATACACTAAGGTATTGGTATCTGGGTATTTGATTTATTAGTGTTCGAGTCTCTTGTTTTATTTTTTATGTTGAACAGCCACTAACCAGAAAACCTCATAAACAACCTTCGAATTCAGCCATCCACACATCCTTTACATCCATATATCCCTTCCACAGCACATTTTTACTCCAGACTCTCAGTCCAAGAGGGTGGTTTTGATTGTTAGAAGACAGACCATCCAAACAACAAAGATGAAATGACAAGCTGAAAGAATCCACCATGAGCAGCAGCAACCAGGCCCAGCAGTTGGCTGCCCTCGATGCTGCCCCAGGCCATCGCTGCGGTGGCCATCAGTCACATTTCCTCTCCCAGTCGGCTGTATTTCAGCAATAGGTAAACTGATTCACAGCTGCAGTTTTAAAGCACTTTCTGATCTACAGGCACTTTAGAAAGAGAAGACGCTATTTATCAAAATAAATTTTTTTCTTTTTTCTTTTTCTTTTCTTTCTTTCTTTCTTTTTCTTTCTTTTTTTCATCCCAGTAATACTGTAATTTATGGCAAAGCAATGACAGTCACCAGCATTGGATAGGAAGTCACCCAACGCATTATGCCTGCGGATTACAGAAATGTTATCTTGGGAATGGAAAGCTCGACCAGCTTTACCCATACAGCACACGCAGCAAGTCAGGAAAAAGAGTTGTCCATGATGCAGTACTAAGACAGTTTACTGTGTTTCACACAACACCTGCTTTCCTATAGAAAATAACTGTCACTTGATGCCTTGATACTGGCAGGAGTACAGTAAAGAATACTTTTCCTGTTTAAGTTTTTTAAAAATTATTTCTATTGTAACTAGCAGTATTTTTCAAATACGTTTCTCCTGGCTTTCTGCCTCTCTCCATTTTCGTTTTCCCATAGAGCCCTGGGTGATGCAGTAACTGCACCCCCCATGTCACTCCCAGCCTGCTCCCTCACAGTGCCCTGTCCACCTCCTTCTGCTCCCTCCTGGCCCCTGGACCACCCAAACTTTCTTCTTACAGGCCCCTCAGCCTTTGGCTGCTGCCTCTGTCTGCTCCTGGGCAGCAGCAGAAAAATAAACAGCATCCTCATGTACCTGAAATGGAGCACTCCTAGTTTCGGGGTTTGGCTGTGCCACAACAACTTCATTTACTTTTCTCTCCCTCTGGTACATATTCTTAGTCTTAGAATCCATATTTCACCGGCGAGGTTTGGCCTCAGATGAAGGACACGATCACTTGGCAGCAGTTGCTACCGCCACCATGGATGGAGATGTGCAAGAAACTGTAATTGTTCCTGCCAAGATTGCTTTTTATACTGCATGATATATTAATTTTCCAATATGTAGCATTGTTCTTACTGAAGCATGTGCATACATGCCTTTTTGCTCTCCTGGGGATATAGACAGCTGAGTAATTCTATTATTATTTTCAATAAAATGACATAAACTTCACTGTTTCTAGAAAACACAGCATGTGATACAGTGAGCCAGAATGAGAAGTACAGCGTTGGGTGGCTTGGCATGTCTCCCAATATAGGATAAGGCTTCAATTTTGGGAGAGAATTCCCACGCTACAGGTCCTTACCCAGTGATTAGGGAATGCATTTTCAGTACTATGATCCAGCCATCAGTGGAGTAAAAGTCAGAAAAATAATGTCTAGAAGCGCTATTGGGATTTCAGCTACCTTCAAGCTAGACCAGCAGCTCAATGCCCTGCTGTGCCTGAGCAGTTTGCAGGACAGGGCACCAGGGCATATAACTGGAATAACTGGGATGTGTGAGTTGGAAGTGGAGCACAAGAGTCTGCTGGAGAAATTGCTTCTAATGGAATAAGAAGTAAAAGTTGACACAGAAGAGACAAGTACTGAGGCACTTTGGCAAAGGCACTTCACAATTTTGTAAGAGAGATTATACGGTTCGTAGTTAATTCCGAGTTTAGCTTTGTGCTTGAAACATGAACTGAAGCATGAACTCTATATCTGAAAAAGGCAGCGTATCTTCTCCCAAATTATGATGCTCAATCTTCAAAATACCTGAGAGCATCCCCAAAGAAGAAAGTAAATCTTAATGAATCTTTAAAAGTCTTCTAATCCAGGACAAAGGGACAATAAATTATTAAGTGTAACGGTATAGATGTTGCACACTGTTGCTACATAGATACGTGGGGATCATTATTTCATTTCCATATCTTAGCCCATTTGGATTTCTTTCATTCTGCTAAACCTCAGTGGGCTGTTCTCCTCGTCTCTCTTTCAAGTCCTCCCCAAGGTCCACGACTAAAACTCACAGTGGCTGCACAACAGAAGAGAACCCAAGCCCAAAGAGAGTGCAGTATTTCTGGTTTGTGCATTAGTAGCTGAAGCTCTGACAATCCGCCCTCATTACTTCCCACAGGAAAATTTCCATCTCCCAAGACTGTCAAACATCAGTTTGATTTGACTGCTGTGCCTTTTTACAATTCATAACACAATTCACAACGGAATTTAAACCCCTTTTTTATCACTGTTTCCTCAGTGTTCCTTTCCCTTTGGCACGTACATCTAAAGTAACTATTGATAATCCACCAACCTTTTCAAAAACATCCCTACAGAAACAAACCAAGCTTGTTTTGAGGTGAGATAAATGACACTGCCCTGGCAAGCAACGAAGAACAGAGCATCCCAGAGTCACGCAGATCCTGTAGCTGCAATATCCCTCTGACAATGACAGAAATCACTGTTAATTAATACTCGAAGTAATCCACAAGTTTATAGGTCACAATGTACAGTGCATCATTGGATTGTCATATTTATGGTATGATGTTATGTGGGAATGGACAGATGAGGCTGGTAATTCTGGTCTACATATAAAAATCAGTTATCATTTGCAGTATATAATTAAGTACATGTGTGTGTATACACACAGAAACAGATCCAAAGACCAAACAGTTACTAATTTAACTGTAATAACATTTAACTACAGCTGACCCTCTAAAACTGGCAAAAATGCCCCATCTATTTATTGCTTTTCCTGTTCATTACTTTTTTACCCAAGATATTTACAGAAGCCATTCATATTTAACTCTTTGTTATAATTTTAAATTCAAATTAAAATATATATGGGTTTAGAATGCAGTAGGGTATGGTTTTTATTACAAAGGAATATGGATTTTTTTAATGGTGGGTGTCAATTTATTCCTTAGAAAAATCAGCCACTTCCAAACCTGGCCTGGAGTTGGAATTCAAAAACTCAAACTTAAGGGCTAGTTAAACTTTGGGTCAGAAAAAAAGTGTTTAAAAGAATCATATCCTTTTGGAGGAACGCTCTTCTCTTTCAAAACCTTTTGGGTGGCCTAACTTGTGAGGTTGAGAACAACTACAGCAATATACTAGTTTTGGCACTTGAAAGGCAAGAAATGTGTAATTATTGGGCTTTGGAGAGTTCTGTCCTCTCCATATGTGCGTAAGCCTAATTAGCAAGTAAGAGCTCGAAATCTTGCATAAAAAGACCTTGGAAATCTAAGTCATCGACCTCAATATATAGAAATGCCAAGCCTCAGTGAAGGAAGAGTCAATGGAGTTCAAGTTTGGAGGTAATAGTGAGGGGGGGGTCTCCAGTTACTTATAAATATTAATGAGATGTATTTTAAGGCTTTTTATTTTCATTTCAGACACTTACTAAAAGGAATGTAGTGCCACAATCATTTTCTGCATCTGTCCATGTGTGGATGAGATTAATGATTAAGGAATAGCTGCAGATTTCACCAACGAAGTACATTGTGACACTAGCTCAAGATTAGAAAATGAACGGTTCCAATAGATTTAACAAAATGAAAGTGTTTATTTTCTGTCTAATATGTTCAAATATGCAGAAGTCACAAATAGCTGTATGGTGCCTACATTAGGATGCTTTTAAAATTGTGATAGCGCTGTATCAGAAAAAGGCTGCCTCATTTATAGTGTAAGAATCAGCAGAAGCGAGTATTTTAACAATCCATACTTCAAGCAGCGCTGAGCCTCTGCACTACTCACTCAAAACACAGTACGGTCTTCTCCAATAAACTGCAAAATCCTCGTGCTCTCAGTGGCAATTTAAGATTATTTTCGATGTGTTTCGGTTACAGCACAAACTCTGCTCAGCTCCCTCTGTATTTGTCCTGGGTCTGTGCCCATGGCCACGGTGCCCTCTGCTCCGACCACCACTTTTCCACAGCGTGCTGGCTTTCCAGGCTGACTCAACTCAGAAGTGCCTATCTTTCTACATTTTAGTGCAAATTTGACATTTTCTCATTCTGGGAAGCAGTGCTAAACTGCCTGGTGCTTCCCCTGAACAATTTCTTCACAATAAAAGCATCATCATCCAGACCCAGAAAAGATACAGCTCAAAGGGGAGAATTCCTCATCATAGTCCTGCACATTTGTTTCAGGTTGTGGAGCATCCTGTTGGAGCCGTAAAACACACAGCCCTTTTGCAGTCCCTGTCCCTGTCTCTCTTGTAGATGTGTCAGCTCGCAGGGATTCTTCTAGGGGTTACCGGTGCCCCCAGCTTCCCTTCATTTCCCAGGCCCAGCATCTCATAAGGGTCTGGGAATCCTCCCTTGGTTCTCAGCTTTGCTCATTAAAGCACCTTTCTGCAAGTGGGAGCGCTTTCCCAATTGATGAGGCAGCCAGGAGATGCTGATGGTAAAAGCTGTCTGACTTACGGGTCATTTCACTAATGCTGTTTGGTTTTCTGAGTGGTTTTTTCCTCTACATCTGCACATGCATGCAGAAGATGCATGCATACTGAAAATTACATGTTATTTATTAAAAAAAAGAGAAATCCCAAACTAATGGATCATTCTCCACATCTACTTATATAAAAGCAGTCTGGGGTAAGATTTTTTTCTGTTTGCGAGGGAGTAACAGATTTTTCAACACTTGGCTGATACCTTCCCCTTGATTAGTAAAAAAATTAAAACCTTTCATTACCAACCAAGTGTGTCCCTACTTATGAATCTGCCAGAAATGAACAAGCACAAAGTTTGATAATTATATCCAAAAAAAGAGCAGACTAGGATAACCTTCTTTGCCGCCTATTTAAAAAGCAAATAATAAAATCAGGGGTGGGGCTTCATCCTACTAGAAAAACACCCCCAAAAATCAAAGCAAGCCCCTGATTTACCTGCTTTGATCTTCCCTTTGGGGCAGGAGGCCAAGCCTGGGCTGGGTGTCAGCGTGACTTGGGAACATGGCCAGATCCAGCACAGACTCAGGACAGACTGAAACAGCAGCCAGAAGTCAGAGATGCCGGCTGGTTTTAAAAGGTGGGCTGCATTCAGCCAGCCTCCACTGGGAA